AGGGTCGGGGCTGGCGGCAGCACTGCCCAGCAGCAGGTAGTCGATCCCCGGGCGCAGGCGCAGGCAGCCGCAGGCCAGGTCAGCGCGGGGCACCCAGGCCTCCTGGCCACCACGGCGCACGGGCCACGCGCGCTGCTTGTACACAGCCAGCACGTGCACAGCCAGGCGCCACCACTCAGGACCCACGGCCTCCGACGCTGAAACCTGTGCGTGTAGAACTGCGGGAAGACACCATGTCAGACAAGCGGGAGGGAGGCTGTCCCTGAGGAGTGAGGTCAGGCCTGGTGGAGAAGACCCAACCATATGGTGGTAGGAAGGGACAGGCAGGGTAGAGATTAGCGGTTCTCAGTCTATGGAGTCTCGACTGCTTTAGGGTGAAACCCTTCCTCAGGAGTCTCTAAGTCCATCGGAAAGCACAGATTTTTATATTATGATCCATAACAGTAGCAAAGTTACAGTTAGGAAGCAGCAACGAAAATAATTTTATGGTGGTGGTGGGGAAATCACCACCGCATGAGGAACTGTATTAAAGTGTCCCAGCATTAGGAAGGTTGAGAACCACTCAATATATGAAGTAAAGGCTGGGATCAAAGCTGGGAAGGGCATGTGAGGTGGTCTAGGATGGTGAGCGCCATGGTGTATGTGAGGGGGAGGGGAAGTCCACGATCAGGGTCGTAAGGGCCCTGTGAAGTAGGGCTGTGATTGAGAAAGATGAGGGAGGTGGAGGTTCAGGACGATGCGGGTCAGGCACCAAGAGTTTGCTGAGATAATGCTGGCTAGAGCTTTTGGGACCATAACGGTAGCCTCAGGATTCCATTGTTCTGGCAACAAGGTCACACCAAGGTGTTGAGGCTGGGCTAGGACTTACTCTGTAACCTAAACTAATCCAGGACTCACTGCACTTCTGCCGCAGTCTCCTGGGAGCTGGTGACTTTGAGCCTGCGCCTAGCTAAACCCAGAGTATTGGTGGAACACTGGGAAGATCCCCAGGAGTAGAGGCCTCGGGAGAGATGAGTCTGGGGTGAACTGGGGGTCGAAAGGATGAACGGAGTGCCAAGGCCTGTGACTAGGTTAAGGTCTCTGACCAACAAGCCAGGTCTGTGGGGGAGTGCCCCTGAGAAGAGGTGGGTAGAAGTTCCACCTCAAAGACCTGTGACAGGGAAGCTGGTTGATGATCCTGAGAGCAAAGGGGCCATGGTCCTGTACAGAAGGAAGTAACTGGGGCTGGTTTGTGTCTCTTAGCTAGCCCTGACTCCTGAATGAGAGCTGAGTTCATGGGCCTCAGGACTGGGGACTGGAGGGAACAAGGGCTCGTGTCTGGAGCTGAAAGGAGGATAGGCTAGAACAAGGGCCCTCTGTTCATCTAAGTCCCTCTTCCTCCAGCATTCCAGATACCAGGCAGACGTCAGGAGAACACTGGAAGTGCAAGAGTATGGGGGACAAGGAGACACGGAAGGTAGGGGTTCCTCCCCACTGTCCCCCACCGTCGTCTTCTGTTCCAGTACATCCTGGCAAGGAAGAGTCCTTTGGGCTCTAGCATTCTTTCTCATTTAAGATAAGAAAATGACAGGGCGGAGAGAAAGCAGGCCTCTTTTTCTCCACCACTTACCGTAATCCTGCTGGCAGTATCTCTGAAGGCTCATGTGCACACTGGTGTCCGAAACGTTGCAGTAGTTTTGACACTGTGGGTCTGGAGAGGGTCAGGCTCTGTGCAGTGGGCTCCATGGCCTGGAGGACAACCCATCTCCCCACCCTGTTTCCATAGGCAGTTGGACTGTCTACACCTCAATAAGGGCTGGAGGCCAGGCATGGTGGCACACACCTTTAATCCTAGCACCCAGGAGGCAAAGACAGGCCACTCTATGAGTTTGAGGTTAACCTGGTCTTCACACTAAGTTCCACCAGGGCTACCCAGAGAAACCCTATCTCAAAAAAAAAAAAAACCCACAAAAATACACCGCTGGGCAGTGATGGCGCACACATTTAATCCCAGCACTTGGGAGGCAGAGACAGGTGGATCTCTGTGAATTCAAGGCCAACCTGGTCTACAAAGCAAGTTCCAGAACAGCCAGGACTGTTTCACAGAGAAACCCTGTCTCGAAAAACCAAGTGAAAAAAGTAATAAAAATAAATAAATAAATATTAAAAGGAGGGCTGTGTCCCTTCCGGCCCCAGGAAGCCCTTCCCAGATCCCCTCGGTGCCCGCAGTGTCTATGCCAGCCTCTTACCAGACCGAGACGCGATAGGGGTAGTAGCAAGGGCTGTTGTTGCCTCCAGAATTCCTGTCAGAGCAGAGGAGAAATTCAGTTTAATCTCTAGAAATCACCACGAGGAATCCAGGCATGCCAACTCCCAAAGGTGCACCCATTCTTTACCCGCCTCTTCCCTCGTAAGAACAAGGAGCCCAAAACCTTAGCCTTTTCCCCAAGGTTGAAGAGTCTGTAATGTAGTTTCAGACCCAGATTCTCTGAAGAACCTGAATTCATCCACTGACACCCAAAAGCCAAAGCCACAGTACAGTTGTCCCGGCTCAGGGTTTATGGAGTCAAGTGTTGTGGGACTTACGTTGGCAGGGCATCCTGGGTGAGCGACTCTGCTGGTATCCAGGACCACAGTGACTGCATGTCAGGCCTGTGACCCCTAACTTGCAAGAACACTGGCCACTGGTCTGGTTGCACATCCCTCCTGTTGCTCCAATTGGGTGGCACTGGCAGGCTTCATGACAAAAGAAAGGAGCTATTTGGGACCAGTAGGCTCCCTACAGTCTGTGAATCCCAGATCTGAGCATCTAGCCTCCTCCCTCACACCCACCTCTGTGTCTGTCAATACAGAATCCTAGCGGTGTCCTTTCCCCTTTGGCTTGGCTTCAGGTCACACTCACCCCTGCATGCCTTGTGACTAGTGATGGGCTGGCTTGGGTCCCTCCAGAACCCTGGCTGGCAGTAGTGACAGTGCCGCCCAGCTGTGTGGTGGCGGCACCGCTCACACACACCCCCACTACGGCCACCTGACAACCTGAACAGCTCGGAGTTGAATCGGCAGCGTCGGGCATGCTGGTTGCAGGAGCAGGCTGGGGATAAGATGATGTCAGAAACTGTCATACAGGCACGTTAGGGCCAGGTCTGTCTCCCATCCCCAGCTTTCTCAGGAAAGAAGATAGTTCTGTGGTTTTAGAAACTGCCTTCGGCTCATTCCCAGGATGTCTTAATTCTCATGCTGAGCTGTGGCATTGGACTAGTTAGCCTGTGACCCTCCTGAGAGGCCATAGTGCGGAAAGAATGGGCTAAGTTGGGGGAACCCCTGCCTCTGCATGAAGGGGACTACTCTATCCTGTAGCTCAGCCCCATCGACTGTAGGATGGCATCTGCTGTGTTTACATCCAAGGAGATTAAGATAAACATGCTCAGCCTAGAACCCAGCATAGAGTGTGCGCCAAGCCTATGGTGCTTCCATGCACCAGGCACTGTTTACTGAGTGTGTTCCATCCTGGACACCACCATCCCATTTCATAGGTTGGGAAATGAAACACAGAGGTGAAGTCACGTGCTGGAGGCAGCACAACCAGGAAGCAGCAGAAGCAGCGTCTGGGCTTGTGTCCTAAGGCCTCCACAAAGCCCACAGATTGGTTGAACATATGTGTTTTCCTGGGAGCGTTTTTCAGATTCGTGAAGGCAGTAACTATCAAACCCACCACTCTACAATCACCACAGCCAGCAGAACAATGTTCAACACGACTCAGTACTGGTGTTGGCTTAAGCTCTGAGAATCTGACCCTGAGGAGTTTATTTTAGGCATAGTTAAGCACAGCACAATTTGGTGAAGTTTCCCGGTGATAAAGAACTCAATCCTGTGTACACAACAAAGCTTGAAACTCTCTGAAAAGTACAAGTGACATCTTTCATAAAGATGGGTTCTGCAGACTGAAAACAATAAACAAGGGTCTGGGGGAGGCTCTGGTGTGGTCTCAGCCACACAGATAGTGCGAAGGTCACCAGGATATTAACCAGGGCTGCTCCCAGCCTCTGGGAGGAAAACAGGTTATCCATCCCTCCCTTTGAAGGAACGACTGTGCGTTTAACATTCCTGGTTCTCTGGTGCTCATCTGTGAGCACAAGGACCTTCGCCTCTCACATACCCTACTGCTGATCAGAAGCACTAGGAAACCTTTATAATTTGTTTGGCTGATTGCAGGAGAAACAGGGCCTCATGAAGACCAGACTGGCCTAGAACTTAGGATCTTACTGCTTCCATCTCCTGAGTACTGGTATATAATAGAGTTTTACCATGCCTGGCTAGTTCTTTTAGTTTTTTGAGACAGGGTTTCTCTGTGATACCCTGGCAGTCTAGAAACTCACTCTGTAGACCAGGCTGCCGTCAAACTCATGAAGATCCGCCAGCCTCTGCCTCCCGAGTGCATGGATTAAAGGCATGCATTACTACTGTTCGGCTGCCTAGCTAGTTCTTAATCACATAAATTCCTGGGCATGGTGGACCACCTTTAATCCCAGTACTCAAGAAGCAAAGGCAGGTGGATCCTATGAGTTCGAGGCCAGTCTGCTCTACACATTGAGTTCCAGGCAGCTGAAGCTACATAGTGAGACACTGTCAAAAATGGGGGGAGGTGGGCTGAAGTGATGGCTCAGAGGTTAAGAGCACTGGCTGCTTTTTAGAGGTCCTGAGTTCAACTCCCAGTAACCACACGGAGGCCCAAAACCATCTATGATGAGATCTGATGCCCTCTTCTGGCCTGCAGGTATACATGCAGATAGAACACGGTATACATAATAAATAAATAAGTCTTAAAAAAAACTGAAACAAACAACAAAAAACGCACCCACATAAATCAAAGAGTAATTCAGTCAGCATCACCAGGCCCAGGGATCTGTATGTGTTGCAGGAATTTTAGAGAGATATTAAATCAGAGTACCTGGGTACTCTATGACAGGACCTGGATTTCGAGACTGAGAGCTTGGGCTGGCGGCTCCCCTGAGGCAGAGCAGAGGGGCAACGTAGTAAGGGTAGAGACAGCTGTATGTCCTTGAGAGAGTGACACTCCTTCCCCCACCTCTGTTGCTCCCTGTCTAGTGAGGCTGTCTGCCCCCCCCCCCCCCCACACACACAAGGGTTCAGATGGCTCTACATGGCAGTGCTGCTCGGGACCTCTGTAGAGGCAGACTTCAGCTCCTTTCTGATCCGGAGAGATGGCTTTGCCTCACTCCCCCCCCCCCGAAACAACATGACAGGTAGAGGACAGTCAAGTTGCCTCGTCTGTAAAGCCACAGGAGTGTGCCACTGCCTTTCATCCAGGTCCCCAGGGCTGCACTTCTCTTAACTTGGGTAACTGTGATCATACTCAGGAATACAGCCTCCCTAGCACCTAGGCCCTACCCAAGCCCAGGATGGAGCCCGCCCCAGCCTTAGGACACGTGAGTCTCCCCTGCTGATTCCGGGGGTGGTGGAGGGTGGAAGGCTGGGACCTGGCCTCCCTGAAAGACTGAGGAATGTGGGCTGGAGAGATGGCTCAGAGGTTAAGAGCACTGGCAGCTCTTCCAGAGGTCCTGAATTCAATTCCCAGCAACCACATGGTGGCACACAACCATCTGTAATGAGGTCTGGTGCCCTCTGCTGGCCCGCCCACACACACACAGACAGAACACTGTATACATAATAAATAAATATTTAAAAAAAAACTTAGGAATGTGTGTGTCTGTCTGCATCTGTCTGCCAGTCTGCCAGTGCATTGATCACCCACAAGCTGAGGTCACAGACAGGTGGAAACAGAGTGGACAGTGTGACTGGAGGAAGAGGGGTGACAGCATCTAGGACAAGTCCTTCAGTCATCTCAATTCTCCTTTCTGCCTGGGAGTGGTGTCCCAGGTAGCAGGTGCTCCCAAGTGAGGGATGAGGCTGTGCTCACTTTGTGCACTCTGGCTCCCTGCTGCTTCTCTGCAGCCTTCAGGATACTGTTGTCTCTGGCGCTACTCTTAGGATAAGAAAACAGGCACAGAGAGGTCAGCTCCCTTGCCTGGGGCCACACAGCTGTGAACCAAGGCCATCTGCTGAAGCTGCTTCTGACTGTGTCCAGGGGCACCTAGTATGATAGCGCCCTTGGGAGCTGAGCAGGAGAGGATCCACAGTCATACCTGATACCTGTGTGACCTTGTGTAAGTGAATTGTGGTCACAGTCTCCCCATGCAGACAATGGGCTGGCAGCTAGTGGTCCATTGTAATGTTTTATAATTAAACATTTCTGTGCCGTGTCTTCTAGGAGTCAGGAAATGTATGTGCTTGGACCCTTGCCCGAACCCAGTGCCACACTAGGCCCTGGGATATGTTCTGCTCAGTACTGCCTCTGGTGTCAGGTGGCTGCTTGTGGAGCCCCTGACAGAGGGGTTCCTGTGTGTATGTCTCTGTGTGTGTGTGTGTGGGGAGGGGTATGTATCTGACATGCTTGGTAAATAAGGAAAGAGAACCAGATCACAACACAACATGAGGCTGAGCAAAGCAATTCTGAGGGGAGAGCATTCTGCATGCTTTGGGACAGGGGGCCAATTGCAAGTTGTCCCAGGGGGCCAAGTAGTGGCAAGGGTTGGGGACAGTACCCACGACTTACGCAAGCACGCGTGAGGGTGCTGGGGTGTGGCAGGCCGCCAGGGCCAGTCTCGATGGGATGGACGGCAGCTCTCACATCCTGGACCAGTAGTGTGGTGGCGGCAGCGGCAGCGTGGGGGCTGGGCCTGGGTAGCACAGCGGGCTGCATGGCCATGGCACTGGCAGCGGCCTCTTACCCCAGTGGTCACCAGCCCTGCCTGGCCCGCAAACGCCACACGGAGGTGGCTGACCACTATCTTGGCCTTGGGGCCTGGTGGGGAGTGAAAGGTTACCCTCTCGGGCCCCCCCAGAGCTCCAGGCCAGGCAGGCCTGCGCCATAGTGGCCTCCAGGGGCCTCCAGGGGCCCAGGCAGCAGAAAGAACCAGGGCTGGAGGCCCTGGGGTGCAGAATCGCAGGGTGACAGATGTCAAGAGGAAGGGGCCATTCAGGTCCAGGGTCAGACTACCGTTGCAGGCAGAGCCAGGGCTAGCTGCAGGGAGAGCACAGGTCTGAGGACAGGGGGCTGCTACCCTGCCAGCCAGCCGGGTCACTGGTGGGAGGCAAAAGCGAGGGCGCCCTCCTGGATCATAGCATGGATCTGAGGTGGCCTGGCTAAGGAGAAGCAAGAGAACGAAGGCAATGGGCGTGGTCACAGGAGACAGCACCTATAGAAGAGGTGGTAGAGGGGCCTCAGTCAGCCTCCACTCTGCTGAGGATCCCTGTGGGCCTGCGTCCCTTCCCGCCCTGCCTGAGCCCCCTCCCCAACTGCCTTGAAGCGAGGAAAATAGTTCCATCTGGGAAGAATTACTGTTTATATAACCCAGAGGGAAAAGAACGCAAGCAAAATCAAGAATTTTGCCTGAACTAATCCAGAGCTTAACACCCCAAAGTTATCCATCAGTGTCAAGGGGGTAGAGGCCCTGGGGAGAGGGTGAGGGGTAGATGAGGAAGCAGCGGTACCAACAGATGTGAAAACCTAGAAGGGTGTGTCAAGGAAGAGATGAAGGGCATGGCTGGGGGAAGAAAGAGACACCGACCTTGGGGAAAGCAGAGCGGTGAGGCAGAGGACGGACACCGGAATGGATAGTTGGATGGCATGAAACTAGGAGGATCTGGGGCTGAGAGGGAAGAGCAGGTAGGCTCAGAGACTCACAGGAAAGCCCGAGGGCAGTAAGGAGCCCAAGAGGGAAGGGAGAGCCAGCCGGTGGTGCCCAATAGAACATCAGAAGTGGAGGCCAAGGCCTCGGCCCACGTAGATCAGAGTGGAAGCTTTTCCCAGATGGGGTTCTAACTTTGTTCTCCACACCCTGTGCACGGAGAGGGATTATTGCCAAACAGCCCTGGCCTCTCTGCTGTCTACCCCAGCCCTCCACCCTTAACCCTTTCCCCGCCAGGTGTCCAGCCAGAGAACAGAGCTGAGGGAAGGATGGAGTATGGGGGCTGGAAACCAACAACACCTCGGAGCTGGAGAGCAGAAGCCCGTGGTACTGGAAAGGCAGAAGCCTAAACTTCCATTAGAACTCAGGGTTAGGACCCTGCAGTTAGATTTTTAGGGCCTTTCTGGGCAGGGATCCCACCTGCTACCCTGAATCTCAGGCATGGATCCAAATCCCCACATTCCCCACAATGCTCATGCCCTCAAAACAGATGGGGGAGCTGATGTTGGGGTCTAAATATGGGAGAAAAGGCAAAAAGCAGGAAGTGGCATAAGGTGTGTGCCGGATGTCAGGGCACTTGGAAACCGGAAATCCAGAGTCCAGGAAGTGTTAGGCCTTCCACTTTCCCCACTGAGAACTGAAGACCTGGGGACTTCTCTGACCCCATGCATGAACCTCTGAATCTGTGCCTGGGCTGAGAGCTACACAGGCCTGTGCCCCACTGCCATTTACCAAACACGATGTTTCCCCTGCCCATATCATAGGCCTGATCCCTGCCCCAGGATTCTGGAGCCTTCGTGTAGAATTTGCCAGCTTCCCTAAGCCCTAGCCCCTCATGTAAGCACGTTTCTTGCTGGGTAATTTCGGAGTTCCACCTTCTGGTTCCTAACACCGTAAAGTATCAGGCTGTGAGTTCTCTATGTAGGCCCACAGTCAACCTCTGCTGGACTGGTGGGATCTTTAAGAAGCCCTGCCTGCCTTCTCCACTTAGGCATGCATCTCCTACCTGGCTACAGGGCCCAGCCATTGTCAAACCTGCCTGAAGAAGAGAAGGTGTCCTGTAGTCAGCTGTTCCCATTCTTCTGTAGGAGCGGCACTGTGGTGGGCTCTCGGGAAGAACTAGAGTGGCTGTTCTCAGGCCAGGCTAGTGGGGGTTCTGGGCGGGAGCTCAAACCAGAGCCCGCAGAATTCAACACCACTGCCCGCCCCAAACTCTGGCCAACAGCAGCCACGCTTGCTTTCCCCACAGGGACCCCTGCCAGCCACACCACCCGAGACTGCGTGGGACAGGAGCATTGTCGCCCCCAGCAGGCTTGCAGCCTGGTGGCCCTGGACAAACTGGCTTAGAAGGATCCAGGCAGGTAGGAGGACAGCTGTCGGTGGGGGTCCTGAGGTTGGTCTGTTTCCTCTTGCCCTAGCCCCTCTTACCTCAGGAATTTAGCTTGCCAGCCCCCTGCTTCTGGCTAAATCCCAACCAGTGCCAGTCCTGCATCTTTCTGCCACGTGTGGGTTAGCTAGTGTTAAGGTCAGGCCAACTGCAGACGAAGCGGAGGCCAGTGCTGTCTGCGAGGAGAGCAGTAAAAATGGGTGTCCAACCTGGTTGGACAGGGGAGGAAGAGAGGGCAGCTAAAGTGGAATAGTCCAGCAGCTGATGTTCATGACCCCGGGCGTCCAGCCTGACATGCTCACACAGTCGTTGTGTTCTGGGTACCGTGGCTTCCCTCTGGGCAAGGCACGGGTGTGTGCAGTTTCTCCTAGAGCTCCCATCCCATCCCAGCCATTGTCTGCCGTTGTGTAGAGCTGGCCCAGGACAAGACGCAGGGAGCGAGAGATGTCCCTCAAGGGTCCAGGTGACCTTTGAAGCTGCAGTCTTGGAGGAGCAAGGACAGGGACAAATGAGAGCTACAAGACCCGTGAAAGCAGGATGTACAAACTTTAAGGGAAGGGTCAACAAATCCCACATCAGAGAACCATGTCCCCAGCAAGAACCATGAGCGATAGGGTGACACGTGGCACTGGTGGATCCAGCCAGTCCTCCCAGGTCTGCCCAGCCATGGCCCTGTCAGGTCACCTACCAGACAGACAGACAGAAAGCTAATCTGTTCTGTAGACAATTAGATATGGTTTGCTGAGCAGGAACAGGAGCTGGGACTTGAGAGGGATGGCCAGGAGAAGAGAGCCTTGTCCTGTCTGTCAGGACATTACAAAGAAAGTTGGAGTCTGCTGTAGAATCCTCCCTGACTACCATGGTGAGTCCCTAAGTTGTCCCCAAAGGAACCGTTCTTCCTTACTTTGTTCTGGGTAGCCTGAGCTGGCAAGGTGATTGTCACCCAGAAGACATCCGCTGTGGCGTGAATGGAGAAAAAGAGCAGTTAGAAGCACAAGAGGGAGAGCCACACCTACCCAGGAAGTGGCTGGTCCCCAATTCAGAGGTGATATGGGGGCTCCCCAAGTATGGGAACCTTAAGCCTCACAGGGCCTGGCTTCAGGAGAGCTCAGGCCTTTGTGCCCACCACAGTGACTCTGGTGGAGGTTCTCTATCACAGGCCTTAGTAAAGAAACTGGGGAGGTCAGCCTCTTCTCGTTCTGCCGGATGTGTTTTCTAGGTCTTGGGGCAGAACAGCCTCAAGAGGGCACTCTTGAGACAGCAAAATGAAGGCCAGGCCTTGCCTCACGGTGGCAGCAGCAGAGCCCTTCCCAAAGCAGACGCATTTCCCAGGAAGTGTTTCTGAGGCTTCGCCACCGTCCCCAAAGCTGCACCCTCTCTGGAGCCCTGTGGCTTCTCCCTGACCCAGGTTCTCTGTCCTTGCTCTGCTCCATGGTCCTGTGGCTGGGCTGGGAGCTCCACTTTGAGTTGGGCAGAGAACCAGAGATGTGAAAGAAAATGGTTGGGATAAATAAAAAGTTGTGTGTGTGAGGGGGCCGCAAGTAGAGCAGATCTGTCTTGTGGCGTGTAAATCACTGAAGGTGTTTCTAGCACACCTGCTGTATATGCTGTGCGTGTCTTGTGGTCCACGCTGGCTGACCTTGCTGGGGACCCAAGTTAAACACCAAGAATGTTCACACTTTCAAAAATGGTCAAGTTAATGTTATGCCCAGATCATGGAGTTTATCCAAAACCAACTAGGAGACCGAGTCCTGTATATAAAAGCAAAGAGCCTTTATTCTCACACAAGTTTGCAGACTCGGACTCTCCGTGTGTCCAACATATTGGAGTGATCTGAGAGCCTCGAACTCAGTTAGGGTTGGGTTTTATAGTAACAGAGGTAGGGGTGAGGGATTTCTAAGGGGGGCTGGAGAGATAGCTCAGAGGTTAAGAGCATTGCCTGCTCTTCCAAAGGTCCTGAGTTCAATTCTAGCAACCACATGGTGGCTCACAACCATCTGTAATGAGGTCTGGTGCCCTCTTCTGGCCTGCAGACATACACACAGACAGAATGTTGTGTACATAATAAATAAATAAATAAATAAATAAATAATTTTTTTTTTTTTTAAAAAAAGAGATTTCTAAGGTTCAGGACTACTGATTGTCTAGGGTGTCCTGGTGGAAAGCGATGGCTGAGTGCTGGCAGGGGATCCTATCTACAGTGGCTGGGACATTAGGATTTTCTTTGGATGGTCTGTTCCTGTGTGGTGCAGGCTTTAGGGCGTTTCCTGGAACCCGGTGCTGCCTGCTGTGGCAGCTCTGCGCCTGGGCCCCACATGTCCTGGGCCCCACTTGTGTGGTCAGGCTGCCCTGGGCTCCACATTGCCCCCTTTTCACAAGAACCAGGTGACAGACCCAGTCATGGGTCCTGCTTGCCTAGGGGCTCAAGGCAGTGACTGGGATCTCAGCACAGATTTTCTAGGGCAGGGCCGTTCGCAGCTATTGCCGTTCTTAAAGCCCTGTTTGTATCTGGGATCTTTGAGCACAGCCAGGTTATAATCCTAAGTGATCTAGATAGAAATAGTAGTTTTTTTAGGACCTTATAATACTTCTTTGGTTCTGTATGAAGAAGGTCAAGTGTCTTGTCTTATTGCAGTTACTTTAGTAAATCTATCAATTGACAATCTGGGCCTATTTTTCTGCTATGTCAGTGGGCACTAAAGGCAGCCATTTTGTCCCCCATTCCAGGGAGTACCCTTGTCTCAGCATTTCAGTCTATTTTGGGCAGGGAGCATGGGACAACATGTTCCTTTCTATAGCTACTTCGAACTGACTCTGGGGGATTGTTCTCAGGCCCCAGAAGGCTGAAAGGACAAACTTAAGGAGGGAATTCAGGCAATGGGGCATTCTTCAGAAGAATCTGGTTTTCAGACTCTATTGAAAAGACAGGGAGCATTCACATCAGCTGGACCGGTCCACATCAGCTTTCAGGAAGCCTGGGGCTCCTACCATTCAGAGCAGGTTGTAGTCAGCACTGATGCCTAGATGTGTCTGCCAGCCAAGTGGAAACCTACTGAGATAAATTTAAACTAGGAACAAAAGTTAAAATTTATTTACTTAAAGGAAAACAATACATTTGAAACTTTCAGGCCTATATTGAAATCCATATCATAGAAAAAAGCAGATAACAGGTATCTGTAAGCAGCAGGAACAGAATCGTACCTGTGGGTCCTAGCTAAAACTGCAGATTTTGGTTTGTATATTTTTCTATTGCCCAGACAGCCTGGTATGGATTGGTCAGAGCTGTCTTTGGCCTGATGAGAAACATCTTCAAGTCTATACCTAGATGACAACGAAAATAAATGACCCAAACAATAAGTAGTCATTGCTCTATCAGCTTATCAGAACTATACCATAGAAGGGGAAAGAAATCAGAAACATTTTCTTATTGGAGAAGGAAGGCTGCTTGTTCATTCCAGGCACTCAACCCTGAAATAATTACACAGAAACTGTATTAATTAAGTAACTGCTTGACCTATTAGCTCTAGCTTCTTATTGGCTAACTCTTACATATTAATTTAATCCATTTCTATTAGTCTGTGTATTGCCACATAGCAGTGGCTTACTGGCAAAGTTCCAGCATCTGTCTCCAGCAGGGCTACATGGCTTCTCCCTGACTCAGCCATTCTTTCTTTCAGCATTCAGCCTACCTAAGTTCTGCCTCGCTATAGGTCCAAAGCAGTTTCTAGTAATCACAGCACACAGAGGGGCCTCCCACATCACCTCCCCTTTTCTGTTTAAATAAAAAGGAAGGTTTTAACTTTAACATAGTAAAATTACATATAACAAAAAAGGTATCAAACAAGAATTACAGTTACAATATTTATTTATTTTTATTTTACATTTATTTATTTATTTTACTATGTATACAATATTCTTTCTGCATGTATGCCTGAAGGTCAGAAGAGGACACCAGACCTCATTACAGATGGTTGTGAGCCACCATGTGGTTGCTGGGAATTGAACTCAGGACCTTTGGAAGAGCAGGCAATGCTCTTAACTGCTGAGCCATCTCTCCAGCCCCTATTTTTATTTAAATTAATTTTTTGTACATTGGTCTGAAGGTGTCAGGTGCCCTGGAACTGGAGTTACAGACAGTTGTTAGCTGCTGGGAATTGAACCCAGGTCCTCTGAAAGAACAGACAGTGCTTTTAACCGGTAAGCCATCTCTCCAGTCCCCAGTTACAATATATCTACTTTATCTTTTATCATAACTAAGGAAAACTATAGCTATAAATTCTTCAACTCCATCAAAGACTCCAGAAGGATATAATATTTCCTAATTAAACAGGAAGTACATTGTAAGCAACTTTCAAAACTCTAGAATTGACAGAGATAGCTCACTGCCTGGACAGTCACCCAGAGTTTTTCTGTACTTTTGGGGCATCCATCTTCAGCCTACTGGCCCATAGCGTCCAGCAGACTTTTCCATGAAGCAGGAAATTTCAAAGACAGCTCCACCTATAATGACAGTTTGTCAGTCACTTTCTTCTGTGTCCTGCAGAACGTGTGGCTGACTCTTTCATGAAGCAGGAACCCCGAAGGACCATTTCACCTTTAGGCAAGTTCAGCAGTCATTTCTCTGCGGGTCCTGCATGTCCAGTTTATCAAGCAGTCCAGGCAAGAGCAGTTCTTGCCTAAATGGCTGACGAACTCCATAAGGAGCCTTTTCAATGCTCATCTTCTTCTTGAAGTAGATTGGTGCTGCCAGAAGCAGATGTGTCTCATTGTCATGAAAAGTCTTAAGTTGTTAAAACATTTTAAATGTCATATTCTGAAGGTCTCTGAAAGATTTGAAGAATACCTAACTGAAATATATCTCTAGACGTCTAGAAAATATAACTAACATGACTACAAACTTGATTATTATAGATGAGTATATATTAACTTATTTTTTAATACATTTTTGTTGATACTTACTGAGCTCTACATTTTTCTCTGCTCCCCTCCCTGAGGTCCCCTTACCCCTTCAATCCTCCCCCAAGGTCCCCATGCTCCCAATTTACTCAGGAGATCTTGTCTTTTTCTACTTTCTACTTCTCCTGTAGGTTAGAGCTATGTAAATCTCTCTTAGTGTCCTCATTCTCTAAGTTCTCTGGGATTGTGGTTTGTAGGCTGGCTTTCTTTGGTTTATGTTTAAGAACCACCTATCAGTGAGTACATGTGATAACTGTCTTTCTGTGTTTGGGTTACCTCACTCAAAATAATGTTTTCTAGCTCCATCCATTTTCCTGCAAAATTCAAGATATCGTTATTTTTTTCTGCTGTGTAGTACTCCATTGTGTACACGTACCACATTTTCCTTATCCATTCTTTGGTCGATGAGCATTTAGGTTGTTTCCAGGTTCTGGCTATGACAAACAAAGCTGCTATGAACATAGTTGAGCACATGCTGTTGTGGCACGATTGAGCATCCTTTGGATATATACACAAAAGTGGTATTACTGGGTCTTGAGGAAGGTTGTTTCCTAATTTTCTGAGAAATCACCATACTGATATCCAAAGGGGTTGTACCAGCTTGCATTCCCACTTCCCACCAGCAATGCAGAAGTGTTCCCTTTTCCCCACAACCTCTCCAGCATGAGTTGTCATCAGTGTTTTTGATCTTGCCCATTCTTACAGGTATAAGATGGAATCTCAGAGTTGTTTTGATTTGCATTTCTCCGATGACTAAGGATGTTGAACATCCCCTTTAGTGTCTTTCAGCCATTTTAGATTCCTCTGTTGAGATTTCTCTGTTTAGGTCTGTACTCCATTTTTTTTATTGGATTATTTGATCTTTTGATGTCCAATTTCTTGAGTTCTTTGTATATTTTGGAGATCAGCCCTCTGTCTGATGTGGGGTTAGTGAAGATCTTTTCCCATTCTTTAGGCTGTCGTTTTGTCTTGTTGACCGTGTCCTTTCCTTTACAGAAGCTTTTCAGTTTCAGGAGGTCCCGTTTATTAATTGTTTCTCTCAGTGTCTGTGCTCCAAATTGTACAAATATTAAAAATCTTCCAAGTATAAAACAGGTGGAAATAAAACAAAAAGTGGCGTGGCATCCATCCTGTGGCTCAGGTTTGCTGGATTTTTGTCAAGCAATCGTACTGGCTTTGTGACTTTTGTCATTACCATCATATCTTAACTTATATTTCTTAATTATACATTATATTTCTAAATGAGCTGGACAAACACAATACCTTAATCAAGATCAGAAATACGCCAGGTGGTGGTGGTGCACGCCATTAATCCCAGCACTCAGGAGGCAGATGCAGGTGAATCTCTGTGAGTTTGAGGCCAGCCTGGTCTACAAGAGTTAGTTCCAGGACAGGCTCCAAAGCTATAAGAAACGCTGTCTCAAGAAAACAAAAAACAACAAAAAACAAGAAATACATATACATATAACAAAATTGACCTTAAATCTGTATCAGTAAACCAAGATTCATACCAATGAAAATCTCTATAGCATATCCCCCTTTAAACGTAAGGAAGCGTTAACAAACAATATTTGGGAATATGGGCGTAGTTTTATCCAAACTTCTTCCTGCTGTTTATTGGGTGAAGTAATTTTGAGGGTGTTCATTGCGACCTCTCGGGGGTCATGGTTTATCAAACCTCATTATCCTGGAATGAATCCAGAGGTTCTCATCCTCTGTGAAAACAAAAGAAGAACCTCTTTTCCAAAGCAACATATCCTTAGACCCAAATTTGGAAGTCATGATACCTCTATAAAATACATGTTGGTTTAGGTTAGCAGCCCATACAATGAAATATCTCTCTCTACTTAGCTCATTCACAGTCAAAAAAATTCAAAGATAACACAATAATATACATAATCAAGACTCTCTGGATTTTCCATTTTTACATGGCTTGTTTTTACTCTATTTTTCTACAAGTTTAATATTTATTTTATTACCTTTATACCTTTAATCTATGACTATCTCTCTGTACTCTGTGTCTTTAAAGTCTTTTTTTTAAAAAACCATGTACTTCTTTTTATAACTCTCTATACTCATTTGATTTTCTCTTCCAAGCCTGCAAACATTTATCCAACAGTGTGACACATTTACAGTTTTTTTTATGTCTGATTCTGTCCTTATGAGTATCAGTAATTCTTTACTGTCCAAGAGTGCATATATATATGCATATATATATATATATATATATATATATATATATATTGAGCTAACAAGTTGGCTATAGTTTTGTGGAAGGATTTGGATACCTGCTTTTGCAAAGCTGACAATGTTATAGCTATCCTAACCATTAATACTATCAGAGATCCCAGAAGGATAAATAAATTATACCTGAGTATAACTGGGCCTCACAGTTACTGAGCGAGAGGCCCTGGGGTGCAGGAGTCAAGGAGCCGAGGCAGCTACTCAGCCCTGAGGCTTGCGCACAAAATCAGCGAGAGAAAAGCAAGTCACTGTGTGGTGGAGCAGACACCTAAAGACTTTGAGGGCCCCTGGGAGGCTGGAATCTGAGAAAGGAAGAGATGTCCTTCTGTCCTTCGAGTGGTGTGTTAGTTTGCTTTCTGCTGCTATGACAAACAGCACGGCCAAACCTGGGGAGGAAAGAGTTTATTTCAGCTCCAGGTTTATAGTCCATCATGAAGAAAGTCAGAGCAGGAAACTGGAGGCGGTGACTGAAGCAGAGACCATGGAGGAGTGCTACCTACTGGCTTGCTCTGCCTGCGGTCTCTACAATCCAGGAGCACTGGCTTGGGGTGTCACTGTTCACAGTGGGGTTAATCAATAAAATGCCCCGTAAACCTGCCTGCAGGTCACCTGATGGAAGCATCTTCTCAATGGAGGAGGTATCCCAGGTAACCCTCCCTACTCATCCAGCTGACCACCACCACCAAACACGGACCAGCAGAGATGAACCCAGACAAGCCCAGTGCTGCCAAGGCAGAACCTGCGGGTTAAAATACATGGTCTCCTTGGTCAATCAGCAGTGAAGGGCAACAGATGGAGAAATGGAACCCTTAACACACTGCTACCAGTTCCTGAAATCAGTGACCACAGGGCCACATTTGAACTGGCAGTGCCACCCCAGACAGGTGCCCAAGGGAACAAAATAGTAACCACAAGGACTTTGTGAGTCATGACACCATCGTCCATCACAATCGGGGGATGGGAGTAACCTACACGTGCTAGTGTGGTGGCAGGCCGCACATGGCCTTCCCATATCAACACAGCAGATTGTTGACAGCCACAGCGAGGGTAGCAGTTGGTGGCCAACGCTATGAGAGTCCACAGACTAACCATGTGGCTTGGCAAATTGGAGACAAAAGCAGCTGTGTTGACTGTGGTGGCCGGGGGGGGGGGGGCGGTGGTGGATGAGCCAGTGTCTAGCCAGCTCTGAGCACACACTGAATACTGACAAGGGTGGGTTCTGAGGTATGTAAATTATTTTTCATTGAAGTGGTTACCAGAAAATGGCCAAAAACACTAGTCCAACTAGTACTGTAGCGTCTCAGGAACAGGAGTGGTACTGCCCATCCCTTGAGCCCTGGCCCAGAAGCAGCTGTTACATGCGACTGTTTCTGGCAGGTGCAGGACCACCTAGGCTTGGGGAAGCGGGAACTCTAGGCAGCTTGAATCTGTGTTAGCACAGTGAGAGAATACAGTGTTGACGGGTATTGTGGCCAGTCCCTTCTTGCAGAAGAGGTTACATGGAACAGTGAAGCCAAGCCCGCACCCGACCCTATGCCTGGCCTCTGCTATCCTAGGGCAGAGTTCTCTTCCCTCCTCCGTGTTCTCCTGCCCCGCCAGCAACTGACACGTAGTGGAAGCACCCATTCCTTGTGGGCTGGGCATGATGGGGAGATGTTAGAAATACAGCCATCAGTGGTGGTGGTGTAGTCCAGGACCACAGGGGCCACCTGAAACCATGACAGTGCACAGCCCTATATATGTTTTTCCATTTCCACAAATTCCCACAGAGCTCATAAATCAGGCTCAGTAAAAACAACTCAAGCAGAGTAGCTGAGCCAGCACTGGGGTAAAAGCTGCATGGATGGATGTGAGCTCCCCGAGCTCAGCACGCCTGTGGTCACCGTCCCCGCCCTCTAGAGCCGCTAGGGTCTGAGGTAAGGATTACTTGAGAGTAGCACTGCAGCTCTCTTCAGAGGAGTCTGCTCTCGGGAGTGGATTCTCTCCTGCCACTTAATGGCGTACAGCCACCACACTCAGGACATCAGGCCTGCCTGGAAGGGTCTACCGGCTGAGTCACCCTCTGGCCTGAGCACTGTGGTTCTGACAAACAGCTAAGTGACAAAAGCATGCAAAACTTAGAGCTTGATACACTGGACCAAGGATGACTCGTGAGGTGGGGGTGGGCTCGGGTTTAAAACCTAAAGCATATAGATTATTTATTTTGGAATGTTCCATTTAATATTTTCAAACCACACTTGATCCTGTTAAGTAATTAAAACTCTAGAAGGTCAAACTATGAATAAGGAAACACTACTGTATCACGTTTAATTCTCATGCACCCCCTGAGTAGCTGTTAGGACCACAGAAATGGCTGTGATCAGGTAAGAGATGGTTTGACCAGCTGTCTTCAGAGGTCAGACCTAGTCAGGTGACAGAAAGATTCAGAGCGGTACAGTAAGCCCCTCACACTGCTGACTAAGGGTGGGGCTGGCCTCAGAAGCAGGCAGGAACACTCCTGGACTGGCTGTGCTCAGACTCCTGACTCCTGTCTTCTCTTACAGCTTCCGGAGGACTCAAGGCCACTTGTCCACCCCTCTCCACCTTTTACTTCCTTTTTGTGATCTTTGTGTTGTCCACCATCTTCTACTGCCACCGGCGCCTGGCTCTAGTGCCTGACCCCTGGGCCTCTTCAGCCCTTGTGGTCTTAGCCCCAAGAAACCTGCCCCCGGAGGGCATGTTCACCATCAATGTCAAAGGCCGCCTGGGGAACCAGATGGGCGAGTATGCCACCCTGTTCGCACTGGCCAGGATGAACGGAAAGCCCGCATTCATCCCCGCATCCATGCACAGCACCCTGGCACCCATCTTCAGGATCAGCCTCCCGGTGCTGCACAGCGACACCAACAGGAAGATCAAATGGCAGAACTACCACCTGAACGACTGGATGGAGGAGAGGTACCGGCACATCCCGGGACGCTATGTGCGCCTCACAGGGTACCCGTGCTCCTGGACCTTCTACCACCACCTGCGCCCCGAGATCCTGCAGGAGTTCACGCTGCACGATCATGTGCGTGAGGAGGCCCAGGCCTTCCTGCGTGGCCTGCGGGTGAATGGGGACAAACCGAGTACGTTTGTGGGTGTCCATGTGCGCCGGGGGGACTATGTGCATGTCATGCCCAACATTTGGAAAGGCGTGGTGGCTGACCGGGGTTACTTGGAACAGGCCCTGGGCAGATTCCGGGCGCGCTATCCATCTCCCGTCTTTGTAGTCACCAGTGATGACATGGCCTGGTGCCGGAAGAGCATCAGTGTTTCCCGAGGGGATGTGTCGTTTGCTGGCAATGGCCTCCAGGGATCTCCTGCCAGGGACATCGCGTTGCTCACGCAGTGCAACCACACCGTCATTACCGTGGGCACCTTTGGGATCTGGGCCGCCTACCTCACAGGTGGGGATACTGTTTACCTGGCTAACTTTACTCAGCCCAACTCCCCCTTCCACATGGTTTTCAAGCCACAAGCAGCCTACCTCCCCAACTGGGTAGGCATTGCTGCTGACCTGACATAGGCCCAGCAGAGGAACCTCTAGCGGTGCCTCAACCTGGGCCCCCCAAGAGGCATTGAAGGCTTGCTGCTTGCTCAGGTTCCCACATGCAGTTCCAGCCCAGCCTTCTGTGTTTCACAGCTGAGAGATTCTGGGTCAATGATGTCACCTCGCTGCCCTCCTGTGCACCCTGAGCATGTGAGCGCAGTCTTGAGTTACCTAGCAGCGACATGCACAGGTGATCCGAGTTCCTCTGTATCCAGAGAGAGTTGGCCACTGTGTCTGGAAGTCTGGAATGCTTTCACCCGGAGGGCAGGTTCTATGGCTGTGATGAGACACCATGGCGATAAACAGCCTGCAGAGGAAGGTGCTGTTTAAACCCACACTCCCACTCCACACTCCATCACTGAGGGCAGCCAGAGCAAGACCTCAGCCTGCAGGACCCTAGGGAGGGAACTGATGCAGAGGCCATGCAGGAGTGCCACTACCTGCTTGCTGAGCCTGCTGCCTTAACTGACCTAGGACCACCTGCCTGGGCCTTCCTACATCAATCAGTCGAGAAAATGCAGGGCAGATGTGGTGGGAGCGGCTTTCCTGCTGATACTGACTCTTCAGAGCGCCTCAGCTCCTGTCAAGCTGACATAAAGCTAGCTGGCAGAGCCAGCTTTGCGCTGTCCTTCCCCTCACCCACCAGCATGTAGGGTCCTGGGGGGTATTTGGTGGTGGTGCGGCTCCTGCCCTGGAGTTATGGGACATTTCCAGCCGCTGGGAGCTTGAGCTTTGGGGCACAACCTTATAGGAAAGGGAAGTTGGAGGAGCAGGCCTGACGAAGGTGCCGGGTGGTGGGCAGCTGTGTAGATACTCAGTCACACTGAACTCCAGACTGTGTTTGTGTTTGCGTTAACCAAATAAAATCAACCTTGGTTCGCGGGTGAAGTCAGCATCTGGTTTGCTGGAGCTAGACACGGAGAGTCCAGAGTCCAGAGGAGCAAGAATGTGGAGAGCGAGACACACAGGGAGGAGGATGGGACTGGAGTTTCTCATTTATTTTTGGTTTGGAATGAGTGGAGAGACATGTCTCTTGCTGGGAAAAGAGGCCAAAAAATTGAAGGTCAGCTGCTTGCATCTCAGCCTCTCTGATCCAGTGGGTTTTCACCCCTACATCTGACTTCTGATCTTTGTTGGTAAATAGAATAGAGACCTAGTTTAAATCCGTATCTCTCTCCAGTCTTCAGTCTGAGTACCCTGCAGGGCACTGACTGCAGGGCTGTGGGGTCACAGATGATAATTAAAACATTAGTAGATGCGTGTGCAGTCACTAAGCCGACAGACAATCCCTCTGGTGGCAGGAAGGTGCACCCTGCGCAGCGGGGCCCAGGAGGAGCAGCAGATGCTGCAAGACACAGCTCTGCAGGAAGCCTGACCCTAGCCACAGCGCTGTCCTGCTGGAACCTGGGCTCGGGCTGCTCAGAGAGGCCTGTTGGGGCTGCCTGGTCTCAGTCTGCTTTCTGTTGCTGTCACCAAGTCTCTGAATGTGGCACTAGTATCTGCCTCATGCTGGGACCCTAGGTGTAGGGTTTTGCCCTAGGTGTAGGGCAAAACAGGGTCCCAGACTCTTGTAAAGCCACCACCCACTGAGCTGTGTCTTCTGTAGCTTCTCTACAGTTATCTCCAGGGAGCTCGGCACACCCGAAAACATGGGGGTACCAGAATTTTTAATTCTTCTTTACACACACACACACACACACACACACACACACACACACACACCATTTTGTTTTTTGTTGTTGTTGTTGTTTTGTTTGTTTGTTTGTTTGTTTAACAGAGTTTCTCTCTGTAGCCTTGGCTGTCCTGGAACTCACTCTGTAGACTTCAAACTGGCTTTGAACTCACAGAGATGCACCTGCCTCTGCCTCCCGCGTGCTGGGATAAAAGGCAGCACCACCACACCCAGCTGAAAGAGTATTACTCTGTGGCACAGGCTGATCTTGAACTCAAGGTAATCCTCCTGCCTTAGCCTTCTGAGTACCAGGATTGCAGTCAAGAGCTTACACACCCAGTTTCCACATGCCCTTGTAGAGACTCCAGTCATACTGGGTCAGAAAGACACACATCCCCCCCCCCAGCCCCCCCCCACACCCCAGCCTCCCCCTAATCAGATGGCTTATCTTCCTGTTCTCAGAACTGCCCTTCCAGCTCCTTGCCCCCAGAGACTTCTGTGAGGGCCTCCAGCAGGCTGCAGGGGGCCCTTGGGGAAGTGCAAAGTGCAGCTGTGTTTCCCACTGACCTGCACACACACACACACACCCCGGTGTTTAAGCTCTTCCCCTGAAACCACCTCCCTAGTGTTCTCTGTAGCCACAGCCTATGGCTTCCTGGTGCACTGAGAGGATGGAGGCCAGCTCAGAACTGGAGAGAGTGAACTTGTAACATTTATCTTCACGGGGACAGTGTGGCTGTTCTTAGTTACAGCCATGCTGCTTTTCTCATGCACTAGCTGTCCTGGGAAAATTACCTCATGTTCCTCAGAGTGAGACTATATCAAAAAAGAAATGGAGGGGGGAGGGAGGAAGGAAGGAAGGAAGGAGAGAAGGGGAGATAAATGGTGTCCCTGGTTGACCTTGCTCTCACTCCCTGCCAGTACAGAGGTGTGGACACAGGACATTCTCAGCACACTTGCCTGCAGCACAAAGCCTCCAAGCCACCACAGCCCCTGGCTGGAAACCTGGTCAGTTCCCTGCCCTGGTCTTTCACATCAGGCCTGATGGGGGACAGATGTGGAGTCTTTAGGAAGCAAGTAGGTGGCAATGGGAGCCATGGGAAGGGCGCCCTGCCCAGCTCCCTGTTTGCTTGGCTTTGCTTGAACAAAGATACAAACAGCTTTTACTTTACAAAAGCCCAAGCAGGGGCTGGCAGTCTGCCAATGGGAATAAGTGCCACATTCATCCAGCAAATATTTACCTGGCTCTTAAGTGGGTTGAAGACGCCCTAGTTCCTCAGCAGGGGAGAGGAAGGAAGCCATGTGAACCTACACTGCCTAAGCTAAAGGTGGCCCAGCCCAGTGTCCACTCCTCCAACTCCTGTGATGAGCTTCTTCCTAGAAAACTGTCCCTGCAGCTGAGACTGGTGGAGATCAGGTGATCCTCGGCCCTCAGAGCATTGACTCCAGAGGCAGAGTAGAGACCAACTTCTAAAAGGAAGCAGTGTTGTGCAGGCCTAAGTGCCCAGTTTACCTTACCCCATCCCATCACACTCGCGTATTCACCAGTGAATGATATGCACACCAAGCAAGAGCCTCTTGTGCCCTGGCTGATGGCTACGTGAGTCTGCCATGGGCTTAGCTCTCAGCGGCCTTGACTTCCACCCTCAGCAACACACAGCACACACACTAAAAGTTAACTTCCTGTTGGCCTTGGCTGAGCCCTGTCTTCAGTCAATGATGTCAAATGATATGAGGGAATATTGGTGTGAGTCAGGCAGGGCGTGACCCTCGCTGTGCCAGGAAGTGGTCAAAGCTTGGCAGGTTCTGCCAAGAAGACCCGAGAACTTTTGCTTATGTGACCTCAACTTTTGTGCCCATGGAGACGAGGATTTGAGCTTTCTGAAAAATTCTTGCTAGGTAGTGGTGGTGGTGGTGGTGGTGCATACCTTTAATCCTAGCACTCAGGAGACAGAGGCAGGGGGATCTTTGTGAGTTCAAGGTCAGTCTACAGAGCGATTTCCAGGACAGCCAGGGCTTCACCCTATCTCAAAAAACTAAAGAGAGAGAGAGAGAGAGAGAGAGAGAGAGAGAGAGAGAGAGAGAGAGAATAAATTGCTGTCTATATTGCATCTGAGATGAGCGTCATCCAGATGGAGCCCTACCTGCTGGCTCATTCCAAGTGTTGAGCTCAATCAGTCTAGGCTCATGGGTGGGCAGCCCTCTCCATTCCGTTCATCCTGCCGGAAGAGCAAAGGCTGTGGGGTCTGACCTCTGTGATCCACGTGTTCCCGAGTTACACTGTTAGTGCAGCGCTCTGCAGAGCCCAGGCTCTGCCTCCCAGCGTGTGTCTGACTGCACCCTTATTAGCTTCGTGCCTCTGAGCGTGGAAACAACCCAGGCAGAGGCACAAATGAAGTGATATCCAGTAGAGATTCATAGAGATAAAAAGGTCTGTGGGTGCCAGGGGCTGAGAAGAGATGGGGAAGGAGTTGCTTCATGGGCACACAGGTTTTACAAGACAAGGTAGTTAAGGAGGGCTGGCTGGACCACAGTGTGAACACCACTCCAAGCAAACTGCACGCTTAGAAAACGACCCAGGAAACCAGACCTGGTGGAACATGGCTGCAATCTAAAATTGGTCAACAGAAGCAGGAGGATTGCCAAGAGTTCAAGGACTGAAAAGTGAGACCCTTGAGCCAGTGAGGTGGCTCAGTGGAAAAAGTTACTGACAACCTGAACTTAATCCCCAGGGCCTGTATGACAATGGGAGGGAACCGAGTCCCACATGACCTCTGACCTCCACTCAACACCACCTGATGCACATGCTTTCCCCATTCTGTGCCCCCCCCCACTCCTCCCAATCCCCCCCCACCCCCGCCTCCACACACACAAAGGAGTGAGACTGCATTTGTCTCCATAACACCAACAAAGCTATCTGGTGGACGGACGCAATGCCCACACCACACAGTGAAAAAGTCTTCTGACCTGTGGATTTGCAGCTGGGTGCTTTGTTTTCTTTCTCCGTCTCCTTCTCTTCCTTCTATTTCTCCTGTTCCCCCAGTCCCTGGTTCTCCAGCCCCTGTTCCCCCA